GACCACAGTCTGTGCTTCTAGTTCTTTCAGTGGTCCAAACATGAAAATACATCATTAAAAACATTAAATAATGGGGCTGGCCCAGTGACATAGTGGTTAAGTTCACATGCTCTGCTTTGGTGGCCCAGGGTTCACAGGTTCACATCCTGGGCGTAGACCTACGCACTGCTCATCAAGCCATGCTGCGGTGGTGTTGCATATACAAAATAGAGGAAGATGGGCACAGATATGAGCTCAGGGCTAATCTTCCTCAGCAAAAAGAGGAAGATTGGAAACAGATGTTAACTCAGGGCCGATCTTCCTCACCAAAAATAAATAAATAAATAAATAAATAAATAAATAATGAGTTCATACTGATATTACCAACTCATGTTAAGATTGCAGAATTTTATATATTTTTGCATTTTATATTTTGTCTTTCAATGTAAAAATTTTAGTTTCTCTTGTTAATAACACAATAAGCTTTTTGGCAATATATGTATAATAGTTTAATAAATTAATAGCAGTATTATTTAACAATAAGGCTATTTAACAAATTTTAAGATTTTTATTATGTTTTATTTTTTTTCTGGTATATCCTACTGTTTCCCATTTGTCAAATTACTGTTTTAACTTCAAATATGTTTAAATCTATGGTTCGTAATAAAACTAAAAATATTCTCATTGGTCACTTTTGGAGGATACTAGGGAACCACTTCAGTATTTTGAAACTGATGAATTAAAAGGGAAGCATCAAACATTGATCTTGCTTTTCCCGTACAATCTTGTAGTTTAAGGAAACCAAATAATTGATAAGAGATGTTTAATTTTTATAAAGTATTCTTACTAATAAATCAAGAAGGAATGATAGAAATAGATCAACCACTTAACAGCTGGTGTGTCTTTAGGCAAAGTCCTTAGGTTTTATGAGCTCATTTACAGTATCCACAAATAGGAAAGCTTGTTACCAGGCTTTACTGTCAGAGATCTCCCAGTAACTGAACCAAAGTTCAAGGAGAAAGTATATTGGGAATGTTAGGCTAACTAAGGTTGTAACCGATTCCAAAACCTCAATGCCTTGGCAAAATAAAAGTTTCCTTTATGCTCACGTTGCACTGCAGTGTGACCCTGCTCCATGAAGTCAAACACTGACACAGTCCACTTCTATCCCATAGCTCCATTTCCTTTTAGGTCCTTGGGATGCTCCATTTGGATTTTGGTTGGCTAGGTGACCTGCTTTGGTCAAAGGGGCATCAGCAAACATTGTGCAGTTAGAGGCCTGACAGGCACTTGCCTTCTCACTGATCTTGGAGCCCTTATCATGGAAATTTGCCTGCTGGAGTATGCGAGACCACATGGGGGAGAATCAAAGCACACCGGCATGGTGTCAGTAAGCCCCATTGACCCAGCAGCTGACTGCAGATGAATGGGCACCTCACAAGACCATCTGAGTGGCCAAGAACTGCCCAGCTAAGCCCAGCCTAAATTGCTGACCTGCAAACTCATGGAATGACTATTGTCTTAAGTCAATTTTGGAGTGGTTTTTTACCTAGCAATGGATAACTAATACAGTGAGAATATAGATAAAACAAGATTAGCCAAATATTGGTAATTTGTTGAAGTTGGTTGTAATAATATCAGGTTCATTTTATTCCTCTGTAGTCTTTGCATGTATTTGAAAGTTTCTGTAATCAAAAGTTAAAAAGAAAATACTGAATATTAATATCAGTTTAAAGAATTCCTATTTAAAGTGATTTGTTTTAATTTCCCTTCAATGTTTAGGAATTGCTCTTTTTTTCCTATTATATTTAATTTTGTTTTCTAATTATTTAAAATATTTGTATGGTTTTGAAGTTAAAAATATAAACGATCTAGAAAGGTCTAGCTTTCATCCCTGTCCCCTCTCTCTCATTCTTTTTCTCTCTCCCCACAGGTATCCATTTATATTAGTCTTTACCTGAATATTTTGGGAGGCATTTTAGAGATTTGTTAGTGAATTTTGAGTTAAATTTGTGATATATACATAGAAAACAAGGCAAATGAGAGAATAAGATATTATTAATTTAAGAAAAACTAAATTTTATTCAGGAAAGGAAAAATAATTATATTACAATATTTGCTATTTGTGAATAGCATGTATATTAGCATATCACTGCAAATAGTAACCATTGATCTAACTGCAATAACAATACAACTATATTGGAAGTTTGGGGGCATAGAAAGTGCTTTGAATATGGAGGGAGTGATGAAAAAGATAATCCTCATCTTCCATTTTAGTAAGTGAATAGATAACCCGTAAAAATGAAAAATCAAGAAGTAGCAATTTTGATGTGCTATTTATAGATACAATAGCTAATACCAAAAGAATGAACTAAGGAAAGTCATCATCTCTGCACAGAAGGGAGGTAGGGTCTACTGGTTTTTCGTAACAAGCCTGGTGATTCTTGGTAAAAACTGAAAAAAAAGGGGCCAGCCCCGTGGCTTAGCGGTTAAGTGCGCCCACTCCGCTAGTGGGGACCCGGGTTCGGATCCCGGGTGCGCACCGACGCACCGCTTCTCCAGCCATGCTGAGGCCACGTCCCACATACAGCAACTAGAAGGATATGCAACTATGACGTACAACTCTCTACTGGGGCTTTGGGGAAAAAAAGGAGGAGGATTGGCAATAGATGTTAGCTCAGAGCCGGTCTTCCTCAGCAAAAAGAGGAGGATTAGCATGGACTTTAGCTCAGGGCTGATCTTCCTCACAAAAAAAAAAAAAAAAAACTGAAAAGAAAATCAAGTAAAAACTGACAAAAAAAGAAGAGGCAACATGGCATGAAACAATGCAATAATAATAATAGTAATAGCTCATATTTATCCAGCACTTCCTATGTGCCAAGCACTCTGCTAAGTGCTATATGTGGATTGTCTCTTTGAATCCTTAGCACAATTGTATGAGGTAGGCTCTTTTTATACCTAGAGCCACATGAGAAAACTAATGCTTTGAGAGTTTATTAGCTATTTATTGCTGCGTAATGAATTACAGCAAAACTTAGCATCTGGAAACAGCAGACATTATCACCTCATAGTTTCTCTGGGTCCTTGAGCAGCTTAGCTGGGTCGTTCTGGCTCGGTCTCGCACGAGGCTGCAATTAAGGTGTCAGCCAGGGCTGCAGTCATCTCAATCAATGTTTAACTGGGGAGATCTGCTTCAGAGCTCACTCACATGGCATCGCTCAGAAGCTTCCAAGCTCACTCATTTGGGCCTCTTCACAGGGCTGCCTCAGGATGTAGCAGTTGGCTTCTCTAAGAACAAGTGATCCAGGAGCACCCAAGATGGAAGCCACTCTCTTTTTATAATCTAGCCTTGGAAATGACATTTATCACTTTTGTCATATTCTGTTAGAAGCAAGTGCCTAAGTCCAGCCCACACTCAAGGGGAGGGCATGAATTCATGAACAGGACATGAATACCAAGAAGTGTGGATAAGGTGAGTTACTTTAGAGGTCACCTACCACAGGTGAAGTAGCTTATCCAAGTGATGCAAAACCACCCAGTTAGATTCCAGGGCTCACGTTCTTAACCACTATGTAACCCCCCACGTGTTGTCTGGTGCTATTTACCCTGCACGGGAGAGCACAACTCCTTTCACATGGTTGTCATCTTGGCAGTGTGGGAGCAGTTGGGGAGGGCAACACACATCAGACCTGACTTTCATGTGTGTGACACACACCCAGGTGTGTTATCAGGTCTGAGCAAACAGAAATAAGCTCTATGTTATGCTCAGTATGGAGGGTGCAAACTATGACCTTTCCATTTACCTCCTGCTTCAGAAAGTGTGTGACTGCAAGAGAGAATTACACGAGCACAAGGATAACCTTGAATTCACTCTAATTTATAAAAACTCAAACCCTCTCAAGCTTTAGAACTTTATTGGTAATGAATTATTTGAGACACCCCTCACACTTGATCATGACAAACTGCAGCTTCATATTCCTGGGATGGAGCATTAGTCACAGGGACATGTTGGCAAAGGTGAGGAGTTGGTGCTATATCTTAAAGCTGTTGGGAGCCACTGAAGTGTTTTAAGCTTGAAAGAGTGACATAATAGGATGTGTACCTGCTGCTCTGAGCTACACCATTTTGTCTGAGGCCTCAGATGACATTCTACATTCTCATGCATGACACGGCAGATGCCTCCTTTACATCCCCCTGGATTCATTCATGTTGGTGTAATGAGATTTATATGTCTCTCATACCTGCAGACTGATCAAAGTACCCCATCTCAGGGCACTTGTGTCTGCCTCTCTCTGAGCACATAAAGACCTTTGTGTCTGCAACCAGGCTGTGCACTTCCTAAGGCACAGACTGATTGCCTCATTCATGGTCTGTCATCTGGTAGTAACCACACTGTTGACACATTAGGAGCTCAGGAAATGCTTGTTAAGTCAAAATGGTCTAAACATGATTGGGCACCTATTATATGTTAGTTACTGTGCTGAGCTCTGGGTAGATAGAAATAAAATAGTGTCATTTTATTAATAAAAAGGCATGACTGTATATAGTCATTCAGTTTTTCATTCATTAATCAAACATTTTTGAACTCTTGTTGTGAGTGTGGCACTCTGCTAAGATGCTGGAACCCAGTCTCAAACAACACACAGCCATCGCTCTCACAGATTCTGTAGCCACTGGGGGAGACAGAACAGTGTGTGATGATCCTAGCTGAATACACTCTGTGGTCACGGAGGAGGGCATATGCTTTAGTTTAGAGAAGGGCCATGTAAAAGGTAAGGGGAGACTTTTTGGAGTATGTAACCTCTGAGCCATTTAGAAGAACAGATGTTGAGATGAATGGAGGATGTGACTCCAGTGTATTGGGACACTGGTTTGTTAAGGCTTAGGGGGAAAGTCGAGGCTATAGGAGAAGGGAAAGAAATCAACATTAAAAGTAAATATAAATAGGAGTTACTTATCCCTCCAAAGAGATATGCAGAGCCAAGCAAAGTTTCCTCTCTGCTGCCTTTGTGTCTTTTCAGCCCTCTATGAGCAATCCTGCGAAGTGTACAGGCACCAAGGGAACACGGCTGGTTTCTTCTACATCGACTCGGATGGCAGCGGGCCATTGGCACCTCTCCAAGTGTACTGCAATATCACAGGTAAGGGTGCAGGGTGTCCCATTCATGCTTCACCCAGCTACGTGATGGTATCCAGCAAAAGGGAGTCCACGGGAAGGGGACACTTGCATAAATAAAAATTTAAAGAGCCAACCTCTGGGGGGATACGGTATTTTAGTAAATAATAGAAATTAGCAGCTAGATTATTTTCATGAGAGAAGAAAACTTGTTAGTGGTCTTGATAATGTTCCACCAAACCAAGAATTAATTATCAAGCATTTTCTGTAGAGCTTATCAAGGACATTTTCTCTCTTAAATCTCAAAAACAGAAAGAAAAGGAAAACAACCAAACCAACAAAAAATGAAACTCAAAATCAATAGGAAGGCCTGACTCAGGAAGTGGAGAGCTTGATATATGTCTGACCCTGAGAGCTGTGTGAATCCTGTATTCTCTGAGCTTCAGTTGTTCATCAGTGATGTGGGAATAGTGGTTCCTACCTCCTAGAGTTATGAGGGTTAGAAACTATCATGTGTATTGAAGCAACTAGCCAGGCTAGTTATCCAGTAGATGCCTAACAAAAAAAAGCAAGCTATTTCCGTTTTCCCTGGCAGGCTCATCATATCTTGCTACTTCTTTCAATGTGGAGGACATAGTGAGAGTCAATTATTACATGGGTTTAGAAAGAGCATACGGTCACTAATTTATTGTGAAAAATAATTCTGAAAAGCCAAAAACTAGTGTAATAGTTATTTAAAGATACAGCAATATGACTACTCCCTCCATTGTGAGTGTCATTAATTGGCACATACACATTTTTTGTTTGTCTTAAGCACTGTCTTCAGAGATGTCAGCAGAATAATGTAATGAAGCAGAAAAGTAGGGGCCTATTAAGGCTCATTGAGTCCTCAGGCCCCAGGCTTCTCTAAAACGAGACAACCACATTTATGGAGCTCTTTCTATAGCCAGACACTGTCTTGGGCACATGCAGAGAAATGAGACATAGTCCCTGTCATTAATGAGGCCGTAAAATAGGGGAAAATACCATGTAATATCACAGGTAGAAAGGCAAGCAAACCATTGCACAAACGATGATTTAGGACACTTAGCAATTTCCCCATCTGAATACAAAGGGCTACACTTTTTCTTTAGAAAATACTATTTACATGAAATTGGATGCCATTTCATTGTGTTTCCGTAATACTTCATCTCTTCAAAATGCACCTACGCTAGCTGCTTCTCAACAGCCCTATAACGTAATTAGAAATTGTGTTACTGTGTTCTTTTCACAGTTGCGGTAACCTTTAGTGTTTAACGACCTGGTCAAGAACTGGGCTTCTCAGTGGATCTTGGTTATTTTCAAAAGATGATTAACATAAAGATCTCCAGGGATTCTTGCTAAAAATGCAGACTTTCTAGCCCCAGAAGTTCTAATTCAGTAAATGCCCTTTTACTGAACTCTCCAGATGATTTTGGTGCAAATTATCCCTGGTCTCACTTTACCAAAAAACAGAGAAAGTGATTTGGGTGCAGAGTAAGGCAAAGGAGATCAATGCTTGCTGTGAAGTGCTTGGGCTTGGTCACAGCTCCCACCAACTTTGGGAACTGAACCGAGAGTTTACAATATCATCTCTTATGATCCTCACAACAAAAATCTGAGGTAGATATTTCTATCTCTATCTTACATAGAAGGAAAGAGAACATGAGACTTTCATGGCTTGCTCGAGGTAATAAATACTGGGACTAACAGTCAAGATTCAGGAAGCAAACAAAACCTCCGATGCAGTAATCATCTGTATCACTAAAACTAATTGGATACTTTGTATTGCTTATGTTTTGCTTTAAACAGTACTTTTATTTTTGTTATAAAAGAAATCAATATTAATTACAGAAAAGTTAAGGAAAAAAAGAAAAGTATGAAGAAAACGTTAAAGTGACCTATAAACCACAATCCAGAGACTGCCGTTGTTATTTTAGTGTTAGAATTTCCTTGGGAATTTAGTCTATGAATGCATATGTGTGTTTTTTCTATGAAGCATATATTTTTTAAATATATATTTTAAAATTGTGAATTTAATAGACAAGCATACACTTGTCCTTATATAATTTAATTTCAAAATATTGAAATTAAAATACATTAAATATAGTTTAAAATTTTTAAACTCTCCAAAATAATGTGAGTACCATGACACAGAGGGAATGATTGATTCAGAGTCTCATCGACATGGAACTCTCTGCCTCTCTTTAGAAAGATTCCTCTCAGGGTTTATGTTTGCTGTGTTGACCAGGAATGGCTAAAGGGGAATGTTTCCTTGTATTTAAAGGTTGCTGTCTTGCTGGTGTGATCCTGAAGGACTCAGGACCTCTGAGTTGTGTCCTAGAGTTGATAGGCTTGATCATGCGTGATTGGGCATTTCTTTTTCTTTATTTTTTATTTATTACTATTTTTTATTGCAGTAGTATTGTTTTATAACATTATATAAATTTCAGGTGTACCTCATTATATTTTAATTTCTGTGTAGAGGACATTTCTTATAAATAAGCTTTTTTGGTCACATGCAGTTGTAAAATATATAGGTTTTTGAGTTTTTTTATATTTTTTTCTAAGATACCAATAGAAATAAAATCAAACTTCTCTGTAGGCTGAAATATGTAATTCTGATATTTAACTGATGAGTATTTTTAATACATAAATATAATGATAACCAAATACATATTTTTCTATTTGTAAATATTAAATATTCTTAAATATGAGTGACTAATGACACTAGTAAATGTGTGACAGAGTGGTCCAGGAAGAGAGTGAGAGAAGAAGGAAGGAAGGGAGGGAGAGGGAGAGAGGAAATGGATGGAGAGAATGGAACAAGGAACAGGGGTATGGGGAGAGGAAGACGTGTTCAGTGTTGAGCTCCGTTTTTCTGAAAACACAAAGTGGCTGTTGTCTGCACTTTCCAGTAGCATCACTGGGGTACTAACACAGAGAGTGTTAACAGTGCTGGGAGGCTGGGAACCGGTGTTCTCTTTCTGCACCTTGTGCCAGTCAGCTGAGTGCTCCTGGCCTACTTGCTCACCTCTGAGATAAGGATCTGGAGCAGGGGCACTCACGGGCCTTCCTCATTTAGAATTCCCTGAGAGGTCATTTGAGGTTCAACAGAAAGGGGGAGTTTCTCGTAAGAAGTCTGCAGATATTTGCACATAGATGTCATGAGGGTGAGGAAGGACAGTTTTAGTTGTGGAGAACAGTACATTTGAATCCCACCCGCATCTCTCTCTACAATGTACCCTGGGAAAACATTAGTTCCCCATTCCTATGGGCCCATTCCTAAGTGGCACGTTACCCCTCCTTAGAGATTTAAGTCTGTGCATCTCGCCTCCCACAGGGTGGTCTCAGGGAGGTGAGATTCCTGGATGCTCAAGCAGCAACTGTCCCATTCAGTGCAGGGCAGCATGATCTCTGCACGGGAAGAGAAGGCCAGTTTATGGGAGAGACCTAAGGGGGGATTAGGTTTATTGATAAAGTGGACTGAGTCTAGGCCACTACAGATTTTGACAGTGTGCCGTACCCAAGGCTGTGTTCTAAGTCACTTCACCATGGAATCAGTGGGTGGGAGAGAAGGAAGGCCCAGTGTTTACATGGAGGATTGAGTGATGTTATAGATGAAGAATATAAAGAGTAAGTTTCTGCAGGAGTACACATTTGACCTACTTTTAACATCTCTATAAATGATTTACAATTCAGTTCAGCTCAATATAAATTTGCCCATTTCAGGCACTGTGCAAACTGCTAAGAATACAAAATTGTGTCTGCATTAGTTTCTACAGGCTGCTATACCGAAATTCTACAAATTGAGTGGCTTAAAAAATAATACCAGAAGTCTATTGTCTCACAATTCTGGAGGCTAGAAGTCCAAAATCATGGTACCAGCAGGGCCACACTCCCTCTGAAACCTGTAGGAGAAAATCCTTCCTTGGTTTTCCTAGCTCCTGTGGTTCACCTAATCCTTGGTTGTTCCTAGGCTTGTAGCAGCATACTTCAATCTCTGCCTCCCAGAGATTGTCACCCTGCTTGTACTCACAAGTGACCTTCTCCTCTCATGTTTCTGTGCATCTGTTCCTTCTCTTCTTATAAGGACACCAGTCATATCGGATTAGGGCCCACCCTAATGGAGCATGACCTCATCTTAATTTGATTACATTTGCAAAGAATCTATTTCCAATTAAGGTCACATTCACAGGTACCAAAGGTTAGGACTTCAACATATCTTTTTAGGGGACACAATTCAACCCATAACAGTATCATTTCAGTCTCCTTCACAGGCTAATCATGGAGAAGACACAGCAACAATTAAAATATAATATAAGGACAGTGACAGGGTATGCATAGTGTGTGTGCTTGGGAGCCCACGGGAGGGATACCTAATCCAGCCTTTGTGGCATGGAAGGACTATTGGGCAGACAGGTTGTGTCTCTAAGACCTGGACAGAGAGTAGCAGCTGGCCAGAGGAAGAGGCAAAGGAAGGCATTTCCAGGAAGAGCAAACAAATGTCAGGAACGAAATTCCAGAGTTCCTCGAGCCTGCATATTTGTGGGAGCCACCAAACTCACCAAGATGAGTCACTAGTTTAGAACACTGAAAAACTCATGAAACTGAATGCATCGAAAAGAAAAGGATCAAAGTGACTTGAGTAGATGCAAGCAAAAGCTGTTGAAGGTCCATAATCCGAGCTATAGTTTCCCAGCAAGGAAATCTGTTGTCTCAGTTCCAGGGAAAAGAAGGAATAGTTTTACCATCGACAGTTCTGGAGCATGCCAGACTATTTAGCTGTCCCTGAATGAAAGATGAATAGCTTTCTGAGCACCAGCAACAAGACACCATCCTCAGATCAAACATGCACTTTAGCACAGTTCCCTTATCTTGAGGACAGTGGATCTGTCAGATGGCTTGCTCAAATTAGGGACTGTTTACAAAGGTATGAGCAAACAAGAAGAAATTATGGGAAGGGGACCATACTACAGTGCTAGTAACAGAGGAACTGTTTCCTCC